CATAATTCCCCAAACACCACAAAGGAGCTGCTCAATTTGTATCTGTGTTGAACTTCAAGTGTTGCATAATTTATACTGAAAATCCACTCTCATACATCTACTAAAATACCCACTCTGACCTTCGCTCCCAATCCCAACTGCATTAAAAATGGACTGTAAATCATTGGGATGGGGGCACCCAATCATGGCTCAGCTTTCTCAAAGCCCAGCAACTCTCTTCCCTTGATGAGTTCATCATCCCCTAGAACAGGTTATAAAAATTGTTCGCATTGTGAGATAATAACTCAGAGGCTTTTTATTTTAAACTATGGTTCTTTGTCCACCCAAGTGAACCACAAAGATAAATGAAACAACTAGGTTCCAAAGGGCTTTCCATTTATCCCTATCACTGGAAGATCACCCTCAGATCCACACTCACACCCTGCAATAGACCCTTCCTCATTTTAACAAAGCCCTGCTATCTTCTCAATAGACCTTATATCCAAGGAGAACATGAGCCAACAGGAAGCCCATTCTCTCCCTTCATTGCAGCAAAGCTTTGCCTTGAGATGCAAATGTTTCTGGATTCCTAAAATGTAATATTTTGTTTTCTCAGTTTTCCTTGGGAAAGAACTATTGGAAAACATTGGAATCCTAAATATCATTAAATCAGTTGTGATGGTCACGCTGATGATGTGACATCCACTTCCCACCTTGAATCTCTATGTATGCAGATAATCAGAAACCCTGCAGCAAAAGGAGGTTTTTTTCTAGCAGTTTCAGGAAGATTGTCTTCAGGGATCTAGAAAAAACTATGAGGAAGGCTTGCTGCTTACTGTGCTTTTCTTTGATAACCATGGTGTCTTCTGTGCCTTCAAAGGATCTTGGTCCATCCAGGCTGTCACAGAGGGCTGTTAGTCTGGGACAACAGCCAATGTTGCTTCAGACCAGGAATCCCAGGAATCTGTCTTCAGAGAAGCCATGATCTTGGAGTAGACATCTGTCTGTCTTGCTCAAGGGGCTCTGTGTCAGTGCTCCCTCTTAAATCATACAGATCCAGAAATATAGGAAGAACAAACAAACTTGCTAGCTTAACTATACCATGTTGTTGTTAGGTGCTATCAAGTCAGTTCCGACTCTTAGCAACCTTGTGGACAACAGAACGAAACACTGCCCGGTCCTACACCATCATCAGAATCCTTGCTATGCTTGAGCCTATTGTTGCAGCCAATGTGTCAGTCCATCTTGTTGAGGAGCCCCCCCCTTTTTTGCTGACCCTCTACTTTACCAAACACAATATCCTTCTCCAGGGACTGAGTCCTCCTAGTAACCTGTGCAAAGTACGTGTGACAAAGTCCAGCCATCCTCATTTCTAAGGAGCATTCTGGCTATACTTCCTCCAAGATATATTTGTTCCCTCTTCTGATTGTCCATGGTATATTCACTATTCTTCGCTAACACTTTGCTAATTCAAATGCATCAATTCTTCTTTGATATTCCTTATTCATTGTCCAGTTTCCCATGCATATTCCCATCGATTGAGTCAGGCATACCTTAGTCCTCAAAATGACATCTTTGCTTTTTAACGATCTAAAGAGGTCTTTCGCAGTAGATGTGCCCAGCGCAATATGACATCTGATTTCTTGATTGCTGCTTCCATGGGCACTGATTGTGGACACAAGTAAAATGAAATCCCTGACAACTCCCCTCTTTTCTCCATCTATCATGATGTTGTTTATTGGTCCAGCTGTGAGGATGTTTGTTTTCTTTATGTTGAGGTGTAATCCATACTGAAGGTTGTAGCCTTTGATCTTCATTAGTAAGTGCTTCAAGTCTTCTTCACTTTCAGCAGCAAGGTTGTGTCATCTGCATATTGCAGGTTGTTAAAGAGTCTTCCTCCAATATTGACGCTGTGATCCTCTTCATATGCTCCAGCTTCTTGGATTATTCGCTTAGCATACAAATTGAGTAAATGTGGCAAAAAAAAAGATACAAGCCTGATTTTAAACCACGCAGTACAGTATCCCCTTGTTCTGTTTGAACATCTGCTTCTTGGTCTATGCATAGGTTCCACATGAGCAGAATTAAGTGTTCTGGAAGTCTCATCCTTTGCAATGTTATCCATAATTTGTTGTGATTCATGCAGTTCAATGTCTTTGCATAGTCAATAAAATACAGGCAAACATTTTTCTGGTATTCTCTACTTTCAGCAAAAATCCATCTGACATCAGCAATGATATCCCTCATTCCACGTCTTCTTCTGAATCCAGCATGAATTTCTGTCAGTTCCTTGTCAATGTACTGCTGTAACCATTTGTCAATGATCTTTGGCAAAATTTTACTTATGTGTAATATTAATGATGTTGTTCTATAATTTCAGCATTCTGTTAGATTACCTTTCTCTGGAATGGGCACAAATATGGATGTCTTAGTCAGTTGTCCAGGTAGCTATTTTCCAAATTTCTTGGTGTAGACTATGTCATACAAAACACTTAATCACATTTGAGGGTGTCACAAGAAAGAAGTAATTATTAAAGTATATCAAAAAAAAAAAAAAAAGGAAGAAAGAAAGAAATCAAACACCATATAAGACTCAAAGAAATCAAACACCATGTGAGACTCAGTCTATCACTACAGTATGTGCAAGCATATCTTGGCGATATTGCAGGTTCCAGATCATTGCAATAAAGCAAGTCACAGGAATTTTCTCATTTCCCAGTGCATATAAAATCTATGTTTACACTATACTGTAGTCTACTAACCATGCAATACCATTATGAAAAAGTTTGAAATTTTGTGATAATTACCAAAATGTGACACAGAGACACGTTACTGGAAAAATGATGCCAATAGACTTGCTCAACACAGGGTTGCCACAAACCTTTCATTTGTGAAAAAATGCAATATCTGTGAAGTTACATCAAAAGAAGTGTGCCTGTATTTGATTAAATAGCCAATTTACTTCTGCTGTGGACTGCCTCCCTGGGTGATGCAAATGATTAATGCACTCAACTGCTAACCAAGGGTTGGAAGTTCAAATCCACCCAGAAACACCCCAGAAGAAAAGCCTAAAGATCTACTTCCAAAAAAATCAGTCATTGAAAACCCTATCGATCACAGTTTTACTCAGACATATATGGGGTCACCATGAGTCAGAATCAACTCGAAGTTATATACTAGTTTATACCTATCACTAGACAAGACCTAATGAACTAAATCCAGTAGGAGAGAGACACTGGTGAAGGTTAAACAAAGCTGCCAGTCTCTGGATTCTAAAAGAGGGTAAAGGTGATATCCAGCTTTATAAAGAGAACAGATACCCCTGGCCATTGCAGAGTGTTCCCTTGACTGTAATATCTGGGAAGATGTTAAAATAGATCCTCAGTCAGTCAATTTGCAGTCACCTGGAACAATATGATTTAAAGAGAAGCCACCAGTGTGGTTTTCTGAAAAACAAATTGTTATCAGCCTAACCTCATTTGAGGCTCTGTGGCTGAGTGACAGATTCTAGAAAGCAATAGATGTTATCTCCAGAAACTTCAGTTAGGCTCTGGATCCTCTTATTGCCACCAGCAAGCTAAGGAATTGCCCTTTGAATTAATTTGAATTAGTTTTTTTTTTTTTTTTTAATGTGGGTCTGGAGAGGACAGAAAGCCCTGCTTTGGGAATTGAAGAGTCAGAAGGCAGGAGCATCCCCACCAGTCTATGTGTGCAGTTAAGGGAGCAAAAGGAAACAAACAGAGGAGGGGATTTGATGTCAGTGCACTTCTGTTCTGCTTCAAGTCTAGGTGTAACTGCAGATGTGGTTGTTATGTGCTGTCTAGT